GGCATCTGTGAGTGACCATGATGGGGGGCATGCTTAAGGCAACCGATGTGCATGATAAGCATTGGGGGTGAGGGATGTCCTCACAGGGTGGAGCCTTTGCCACTGGAGGAGGTAGGAAAGGCTGGGGAGGGAGCTTGTCTGTAGAAGGTAAGTTATCCAAAATCTAAAGGGAGATGTAGTGGGACAGTGAAGGAAGTTAGGGATGCTAGCTGAGCTGGGGAGAGGAGAAATCCAGAAGAAACTTCAGAGCTAGTAACTCACGTTTCCCCTGTCCTATGTATGCTTTCTCCAGGCAGCCTGGATACATTTCTTTTTTCTTTCTTCTTCTTCTTCTTCTTCTTTTTTTTCCCTGAGTCCATTTGTTAATCAGCACTGTCCATGCCTATTTCTTCCTCCCATGGCATGTAACTCTCACCACCTTCTACCATATCCACTGCCAACTTCACTGTATAGGGCTGTGACCCTCTCCTCTCATGAGCTTCTGAGGTCACTGCCCACTAATTACCATCTGCTGGCACCATACTCTGGATCAATCTTGCCTTCAAGGTGGCTGCTCTGTCAGCCATGTTTTCTTCCAGGTTTTGTTCATTGCTGCTGAAGCCCTGGTATTTCCATCCTCACACCCTGGCAGGCTTGGGGCATATTTACCCTTAGTCACCTCTAGGCTGGTCCTGGCAACAAAAGTCCCTGGGACTGTGATATCTCAGGAAGGGTCTTGATGTTTTTGAATCCTCATCTTTTCCCATCAGTTATCCAGTAGTCAGTTATTGGTCCTCTGGTAGCACACCTTTGTGGCAAGGCCTGAGGATGAGTTGAAAACCTCACACATCCTTTGCATCTGGTGACTTCCCTTCCTACTCCATGAAACAAAAAGAGGGAGTGCGATGACTCCTTTTCCTGACCCTGATCTTTAACTTCAATCTTGACTTCACCCTTCTGCAATCTTCAGTAATCCTTGCCACCTGGATCTAGTCAGTGCTTATTTCCAAACCTCTCTCTGTTAAAGGCCATCCTCATATCTCTGGCTTAGAATGCTATAATTGTATATACTCCATATATAGCCAGTCTCTGTGGGCTGCCCTTGGGCTTATGCCAAGTACTTTTCATAATGTAAATGATAGGCTCCCTGCTGGGTGTGGATAGCTCCCTCATCTCGTCAGCCTGGGAAGGTTTCCTAGGGCAGGTGGTATTGAAAATCTATATTTTATCAGGTAATATTGAGTCTCTAGTTTTCCTATAGTCCTCACAAAGCTCACAAAGTAACAGTAGAATTGTCATTGCCATATTTGTCCTTTTTGAGTCTGTGCAGGCTTAGGGAGCCTATGGGTATGAATATCAACCATGGCTTACAGAAAATAGACTTACTTCCAGCTAATCTCCCGGGGTCTTCTATTCTTCCTTGGCTCTCGGAGGTGGGACCCTAATGGTTGTTAGGTATCCAGACAGAAAATGCTCTGAACATACCTGTCAGGATTGGCGTGACTTGGACCCCTGGCCACTCTCAAGGAACATCAGCACCCAGAGTAATATCAGGGGTCTGTGATCTGCAGCCCCATGTCTTTCAGCTCTTTTTCTGTACCTTCTATCTAGCAGGCTCATGAATGGAAGGACTGTCGTTTTGTTGAGGCTTGTTTTAGGAGAATATAGGGCACAGAAAGATCAGCTGTGTTAACCCTTCAAGCCACATACCAAGATTGCCCTCTAGACTTTCTGGTTTCTCTCTTCTGCTTTTACCTGCCTGTCTTATCCTGTCTGCCCATGCCCATCTGCTTGAACAAGTTCTTGCCTTATCCTTAATTCTGAGACTCCCATGATCCAGACTGATGACTTTGAGACTATTCATAACTATTTTCTGAGAGCTTTGACTAGCTAGCTGCTCCAGACACAACAGCTTGCTAGGTGAAATGAAGGTTCTTACAAAAGGAGTTCAAGCTCTGGACCTATCAATTCCAGCAATGTGGAGTGGTGCCTTTCAGTGATAGCTCATTAGCTTTTGGAGGTCAAGGTTTTAATTTGTTTTGTTGAGGGAACTCCAGCATTTCACAGAGAAAAATGTTAGACTTACATTACAACAAGACTTCCCATTCAATTGAGTATCTGCTTTATCCCAGACTTGGTATTGGGTATTTGACATTCAGGATTGAGTTTAATTCTCATTACCCCATTATAATATTTAGGTATTATTTCCTTCCATTAACAGTCAGTGATACATAAGTTCAGAAAAGTTAGGTACCATGTCTAATATTATATATCTAGCAGAGGCAGAGCCAAGATTCAAACCCAGGTTTGTGTGGCTCTGCTCCACTACTCCCACCCTTTAATCCAACCTGCAGTACAGAAGTCCTGACCTGGCTTCAATTTCTTGTGACATTTGACCTGTTTCATGTAACAGGGACCTTTTCTCTCCACCCCCATTCCCACCCCAACCACCTGGGAAAAGCCCTTTGCCAAGACAGAAGAATGGATTCCAGCCCCACAGCTCAGTGAGAGCCATCCTACCTAGCTCTGTCTTTCAGCCGAGGGACTGGCCTTCGGCGCAACTGATATGCCCATTCACACAATGATGATACAATGAAGAAGCTCAGCATTCAGAGATAGAATGTAATAGATTGGTCTGGCCCCTGTCAGACCGTATTAAATGCAATTTTGACCATACAGTAATCATAACCTGTTTAGTTAATAGGAGGCTCATTTGCTCAAAGGCTATAAACCTAGATAACGTAATGATTCTATTTGGGGAAACTGGAAGAGGACTAGTTTTGATGAGTTTGAAGGGCCTGATAAGCCATCTCTGTGAGGAAGTCCAGCAGTCAAGTGCAAACGTGGACTAGAGTTGGAAGACCTGAGACTTGGAGAGTTTGAGGAATGATTTGCATAGGTCTGGGTGACAACATAATTAAAGTATATGTGAAAAGGACTAAGGATATGTTTTTTAGGATTCATAGTTAGGGGCTAGAAAGAAGAAGAGAAACAACCAGAGGAGATAGAGAAACAACAATTATATAGGAGGAGGGACTCTAGGAAGGTATCATTTGAAGAAAGTCAAGAAATAAAGTATTTCAAGGAGGAGAGTGATTCAAAATTAGCAAATTGTTACTAA